AGAAATTGCACGAAGACCTTTAGTATTAAAATAAATGAAAATCTTATTATAAACTACTTCCAAAAATAAAATGTATGCATTAAAGAGAGATGGAAACTCAATCCCTTCGATCAAGAGTCGTTGTGTTACTGAACGGAATATTCGCAGAGAACAGAAAGTATACCTTTAGGGTCACAAAAACAGCATTATTGTGAAACCAAACATCAAATATCGGAAGTTTAATGTTTAAAGGCCATAAAACACACATCTTGGAACTAAGTTCTTTGAACTATAAAACAGCATGGACCTTCAAACAAATAACTAGCTTTACAAGATATTCAGAACTCATTAGCTTTGTTATTATTACAACCATCCGAATTCTAATGTCAAGATCAAAAATGGACAATGATCACTTTTAATCCTAGATCTAGTCAGAACAAGTCTAGGGATAATTTTATTCGCAATTTCAGAAAAATGTGCCTTGTGTTAAAAATTGAAACTAAAATAACATTCGTTTTGTAACTTTTTAGCTGCTAGTGGCTTAGAATTCAGGAAAGTAAATTGGAAGCTTTAAAATGTGTCTGATTCAAAAATGAGATACATTGGTGGCCATTTTGAAAATGATCGCCAGTTTGATTTTATGAAAAATGAGACAACAACTTCAAATCTGCATTATTTCTGTGTGCACACCACGTTTTCCGTGTTCCATGAATAACCTCCATCAGGTACGCTCGCGATCAAAATGTTTTAAAGCAAAAGATATAAAACTTTTGAGAGCATACACACCAAAAGACTATTGATTTAAAACATCAATGCAAATTTGAGTATTCATTGTTAAAAATGAGACTCTCGAAAATGCACTATACGATTTTGCAACGACCGGATAATAATTAACTTGCACAAAATAGACCGAATTTACACAAGTTTGTATAGTCTTCTTTTACGCATAATTAACTCATCATGTCGTTATAACACACTTATCTTATCCACTGTTTACCTTAGGCTTATTTATTTCCTAATTCTTATTTTTGTAATTCCGAAAAAAAAAGCATTTTAAGTACGATATTTATAATATTTTTATAACTTGCATTGACATAAATTGTCTCTGCATTCTGTTTTTTACATAAGCATCAGGTACGAAATGCAATCGATTTTGGATTGCATGCATAATTTTTTCAAATAGATTATTTCTCTACTGTAAGGGGTACAATGTAAGGAGGAACGTAGTATACTTTCATCTATAATAATTGAATTGTCATCATTCGTATTAGTAATCAGATGCAAGGTTTTTTTTAGATCGTAGCTTCTTTTTTAATGCTTGACTTAAAATCCTCAAAACACGGAAAACCAGATTTGGAAATTGTGCATATATGGAAGTACAAATCTTGACAATGGTTAATGGTTTTGTCCTTGCAAGGATTTGATGTTGATGGTAGATCCTTGGTACTCTCTGTTAAAAACATTTTTCCAGACTAGAGGCGATATAGAGAAGGACATTTTGTTTTGATCAATGTATATAACAAAAAAGTTTGTCGGCTGAAAACACTTTGTGGATTTTTGTACTATTACATTACTGACTCATTTTTGTCGAGCCTGCGACTTTTGTCGCAAAAGCGAGACAAAGCGATCCTACATTCCGTCGTCGTCGTCGGCGGCGGCGGCGGCGGCGTCCACAAATATTCGCTCTGTGGTTAACGTTTTTGAAATTTTAATAACTTTCTTAAACTATCCTGGATTTCTACCAAACTTGGACAGAAGCTTGTTTATGATCATGAGAGAGTATGCAGAAGTAAATTTTGTAAAAACAAAATCCTGTTTATCCGTATTTTATGTAGCTCTTCAACTGTTTCGGTACTTATACATCCCTCGGATTTCAAATGTTTGGCATTGAGCGTTCCTGATGAAGGTAAATCGAGAAAAGCGCTTCGGACGCATGAAATTATTAAACGTGTTGTTTTCAATTTTTTACTTATAAATTGACAAGTTTTTCGGCCAGTTAACATTACACTCACTCTGTGGTTAAAGTTTTAAAAATTTTAATAACTTTCTTAAAATATCCTGGATTTCTACCGAACTTGGACAGAAGCTTTTTTACGATCATAAGATAGTATCCTGAAGTAAATTTTGTAAAAAGAAATCCTGTTTATTCGTATTTTACTTATAAATGGACTTAGTTTTTTCTGCCAGTTAACATTACATTCACTCTGTGGTTAAAGTTTATAAATTTTAATAACTTTCTTAAAATATCCTGGATTTCTACCAAACTTGGACAGAAGCTTGTTTATGATCAAAAGATAGTATCTAGAAGGAAATATTGTAAAAAATTATTTCCTGTTTTTTCGTATATTACTTATAAATGGACTTAGTTTTTCTGCCAGTTACCATTACATTCACTCTGTGGTTAAAGTTTTAAAAATTTTAATAACTTTCTTAAAATATCCTGGATTTCTACCAAACTTGGACAGAAGCTTGTTTATGATCATGAGATAGTATCCAGAAGTAAATTTTGTAAAAACAAAATCCTGTTTATCCGTATTTTATGTAGCTCTTCAACTGTTTCGGTACTTATACATCCCTCGGATGTCAAATGTTTGGCTTTGAGCGTTCCTGATGAAGGTAAATCGAGAAAAGCGCTTCGGACGCATGAAATTATTAAACGTGTTGTTTTCAATTTTTTACTTATAAATTGACAAGTTTTTCGGCCAGTTAACATTACACTCACTCTGTGGTTAAAGTTTTAAAAATTTTAATAACTTTCTTAAAATATCCTGGATTTCTACCTAACTTGGACAGAAGCTTTTTTATGATCATAAGATAGTATCCTGAAGTAAATTTTGTAAAAAGAAATCCTGTTTATTCGTATTTTACTTATAAATGGACTTAGTTTTTTCTGCCAGTTAACATTACATTCACTCTGTGGTTAAAGTTAATAAATTTTAATAACTTTCTTAAACTATCCTGGATTTCTACCAAACTTGGACAGAAGCTTGTTTATGATCAAAAGATAGTATCTAGAAGGAAATTTTGTAAAAATTTATTTCCTGTTTTTTCGTATATTACTTATAAATGGACTTAGTTTTTCTGCCAGTTAACATTACATTCCCTCTGTGGTTAAAGTTTTAAAAATTTTAATAACTTTCTTAAACTACGCTGGATTTGTACCAAACTTGGACAGAAGCTTGTTTATGATCATGAGATAGTATCCAGAAGTAAATTTTGTAAAAACAAAATCCTGTTTATCCGTATTTTATGTAGCTCTTCAACTGTTTCGGTACTTATACATCCCTCGGATTTCAAATGTTTGGCATTGAGCGTTCCTGATGAAGGTAAATCGAGTAAAGCGCTTCGGACGCATGAAATTATTAAACGTGTTGTTTTCAATTTTTTACTTATAAATTGACAAGTTTTTCGGCCAGTTAACATTACACTCACTCTGTGGTTAAAGTTTTAAAAATTTTAATAACTTTCTTAAAATATCCTGGATTTCTACCGAACTTGGACAGAAGCTTTTTTACGATCATAAGATAGTATCCTGAAGTAAATTTTGTAAAAAGAAATCCTGTTTATTCGTATTTTACTTATAAATGGACTTAGTTTTTTCTGCCAGTTAACATTACATTCACTCTGTGGTTAAAGTTTATAAATTTTAATAACTTTCTTAAACTATCCTGGATTTCTACCGAACTTGGACAGAAGCTTGTTTATGATCAAAAGATAGTATCTAGAAGGAAATTTTGTAAAAAATTATTTCCTGTTTTTTCGTATATTACTTATAAATGGACTTAGTTTTTCTGCCAGTTAACATTACATTCACTCTGTGGTTAAAGTTTTAAAAATTTTAATAACTTTCTTAAAATATCCTGGATTTCTACCAAACTTGGACAGAAGCTTGTTTATGATCATGAGATAGTATCCAGAAGTAAATTTTGTAAAAACAAAATCCTGTTTATCCGTATTTTATGTAGCTCTTCAACTGTTTCGGTACTTATACATCCCTCGGATGTCAAATGTTTGGCTTTGAGCGTTCCTGATAAAGGTAAATCGAGAAAAGTGCTTCGGACGCATGAAATTATTAAACGTGTTGTTTTCAATTTTTTACTTATAAATTGACAAGTTTTTCGGCCAGTTAACATTACACTCACTCTGTGGTTAAAGTTTTAAAAATTTTAATAACTTTCTTAAAATATCCTGGATTTCTACCTTACTTGGACAGAAGCTTTTTTATGATCATAAGATAGTATCCTGAAGTAAATTTTGTAAAAAGAAATCCTGTTTATTCGTATTTTACTTATAAATGGACTTAGTTTTTTCTGCCAGTTAACATTACATTCACTCTGTGGTTAAAGTTAATAAATTTAAATAACTTTCTTAAACTATCCTGGATTTCTACCAAACTTGGACAGAAGCTTGTTTATGATCAAAAGATAGTATCTAGAAGTAAATTTTGTAAAAACAAATCCTGTTTATCCGTATTTTACTTACAAATGGACTTAGTTTTTCTGCCAGTTAACATACCATTCACTCTGTGGTTAAAGTTTTAAAAATTTTAATAACTTTCTTAAACTATCCAGTTGACCAAACTTGGACAGAAGCTTGTTTATGATCAAAAGATAGTATCTAGAAGGAAATTTTGTAAAAATTTATTTCCTGTTTTTCCCTATTTTACTTATAAATGGACTTAGTTTTTTCTGCCAGTTAACATTACCAACAGTCTGCAGTTAAAGTTTTTAAAATATTTATTAGATTCATAAACCATCCTGGATTTTGACCAAACTTGGACAGAAGCTTCTTACAATTAAAAGATAGTATCTAGAGGAAAATTTTTAATAATTTTTTCCCCATTTTTGTTGAGCCTGCGACTAACAGCAAATGAATGCGAGACACTAGGTTCCGCGGAACCCTTACGAATTTTTAATATCTTATAACCCACATCTTCTTTAAATCCAATGATTAACACAAATGGCTTTTCATAATATTTTCTACATTTTCTACATGAGTATTAATGATTTATTATCTTTTAGGAGACGTGCGAAATTCTTCAGGAAAACTAGAGATATTGTACAACAGCGAATGGGGAACAGTTTGTAGAGACAATTTTGGCGAAATCGAGGCTACAGTGGCTTGCAAGCAGCTTGGTTACAGGTGATGCACACTTAACTTACATGATTTTTTTCAAATTGTCCAAATATTGTTTAAAGAGATAAATATATGCATGATTACCATTTTGTCGAATATACGATTATCCCTGTTACAAAGTAAATTTAGTTGACTTTGGCACAATTTCATTTACGATTCTATGTATTGTTATCAGACGTATATAATCAGAATGTATGTGTAAATATTAACTACATTTGACATATCCGGTAGACTTAATCAGAATTCAACATATAAACTGATCCAAAAGTATATCAATATTAATCTTTTTTATCAGAAAAGGGGATATTCTTGAAACATCAGGAAAAACTGATACTTTACGGATATGGTTGGACAATTTGAGATGCAATGGAGGGGAAACTAAATTAATCAATTGTTCACATGACGAATGGGGAAAACATACTTGCAGTCATTGCAATGTTGCTGGATTTAGTTGCTCTGAAACACAAGGTGTGTATGCCTTTCTTGTTAATAATGATAGTAAGTTATGAATAGTGAGTTAAAAATATTAGCAATCCCCCCGTAGGCTCAACAAGTCACTATGTACTATGTTAACGATGGATTTGGCTTCTTTTTTTATCCTTTCTGTTCTTATAGCTCTGTACATGTTTCGGTTTTAAAACATCCTTGGCTTTCACATTTTTGGCTTTCAGTATTCCTGATGCAGGTAAACTTAGAAAGGCGCTTTTAGCGCATAACATTTACAAAGTGGTTTTTGTTTATATAAGGAGACAATGATCGGTTGTAATAAAACAATCATAATTTCATTTGCTCATTATATTTTCGTTGAAAGTGCGAATTCTGATATGCATGACTTGACCGTTTTGCGATTCCAAAGTCATATTCATTAGCAGAACTCCTGAAGTCATAACTTTCTGTTCTCCTTAAAGTATGGCTACTGTAGATTTGTTAAGATACGAACATGCTTATTATATGCTTCAAACTAATTTCTTATTGAAAACCTAGCATGCCTTAGGCTAGGCATCTTAATAATTGTATATAAAGCTAAAGAACAAAGTTGACTGTACTCAGCTCCCTGTTATTATCGAAATGAAAAAAGGGTTTACCCAAAATACTACCCCGTTGCAAGCGATCAAGGATTGTAAATATTAGCATATGAACCCTGGGGATATCGTTTTTCGTAATTCCATGTGTCTTATAAGAGACAGCTGTTTATTATTAAAAACCGTATATTGACTTTCGAATGACTGAATCTTTTATTCGCATAAACTAAATACAAAGTTACAGAGATGGTACATATATATATATATATATATATATAATATATACAACTCGTCTAAATGATATATATATATATATATATACATAAATAGACTAACTACATGCATGCGTGAAGTACTACATGTAAGTTTAACTTGGAGGACATACTTTCAAATTAATAGTTTTAATAGATTTACACAGTTTTTCTAATTGTACAGTATTTGTAGAATTGAATAAAACATTAAATTTTTATGTTTTTGGATTTTTCCAAAATTATTAGATAACAAATTTGTTCTATCTGTTTTAAGTGCTTCGCAAGTCATAATGTAGTGGCATTCGTCACCAATGTCAGTTGAGTCACAAAGATGGCATACTCTATCGACTCTTGCAAGACCCTGTCATCTTCCCGTCTCAAGTGGCAATCGGTGACTACCACATCTAAACTTGCACAATGTATACAAATGGTTATTTGATAAAATATTTCTCAAACTTAATTTCTGTCTTAAAGATTCTTTAACACAACCCTTTTGGTGAAGCATCTATATTTTTACAAACATGACTGTTTATATTTATCTTGCAATTTTTGTTCAACACTTTTTGATATCCATTTATCAGCAAATTGCATATGCCATATGCTTGACAATCCACAGCTGTCTAGAATATTTTTGATATAAACAAGTCACTTGTTTTCATATCCGTACATAATAAAATTGATGATTAAAGTTTATATAGTAAACAAGATATTTTACTTTCATAGGTCCTGAGTATTTCTTTTATTAATTTTTTTTTCGTCGTTGAGTTGATTGGAACTGTATTTGTGATAAAGCACAATATGTGTATTTTAATTAATGTGCAATGACCGGAAAGAAAAAGGAAAGAAAAATGTTTATACTTTATAATAACGATTTATCCATCTACATGAGATAAAATCATGATTCTGATGAAACGTAAGTACAATTTATATTCTTATTATAATTTTTTCCTCAATAGGTAGATCATTATATAAAGAATATGCCATATGATTTTGACCACAACCATGAGCTGGTGACACCCTGTGATGTTTTTTTCTGACAAAAATATTTGCTGGCATACTTTCAAATTAAGGATTTATATTTCCCCCGGCAACGATACTATGGGGTATTCTGGTTTTTTTTTTGTTATTTCATCAGTCTATTCATCCGTCCAGTATATGGAAAACGTTTATGGTTAAAATAGTTTTCCATGTAGTTTTGACATCATCTGGATCAACTTGAAACTTAGTACACATACTCATTATGATGTGAAAAGTAAAATAACAAAAATACCGGACTTTAAATAATATAATATTTACAGGTATGGTGTGCTTGTTCATGTGAGAATTTCTCATATTAATACACCTTTAAAATTTCATGTTTGGTTAAATTTCTTCAAAATACTGGTCTGGTCATCTATTTTGTATATTGCCCTTTCACACTTTTTTAAACTGCTCGGTTTTCTTACATATATTTCGATGTGCCCCGTGTTGTCTATCATTTGTTGTTTAGTTTTAAATGTATTGTCTATCATTTGTTGTTTCAAAATTATTGATCTTTTGTTGTGCAATGTATGACAAATATATGTTCAAAAAACTCGCCCGTAATTATAAATTATGTAATTCATTGACCGCTCCCGACATGTGTAACTTCAAGGCATATTTTTATCAATAGTACCGCTTAAGTCGACGCTAGGGGCCGTCTTGACCTTGTTGTAGGGTATGAATGATTCGTTCATTGTTGAAGACCCTACATCAACTGTCAAGATGAAGAACAGGAATAAAAGCCCTGTTCATTGATGATTTTCTATGTTTTCTATGTATTGTGTGCGATTTTGTCCCATGTACATTTAGTGATTTACTCCATATCCTTTCATTTTCTATTTAAGGAAAATTCAAATTGGAAAGTCCCTTATTAAATGGAAAAGTCAAAAGCTCAAACACATCAAACAAATGCATAAACGACTGTCATATTCCTGGCTTTGTACAGGCATTTCCTTATGTAGAAAATGGTGGATTAAACCTAGTTTTATAGCTAGCTAAACTGATTGACACCATATTTGTTACGTTTGGGGGACGTGTGTTTCAACAAACAATGGGCATTCCTATGCGAACCTACTGTGCCCCATTTCTTACCGTCTTGTTCCTTTATGCATATGAGGCTGATTTCATACAGGAATTTCTTAGGAATGAAGAAAAGAAGATTATGTTGAACGCATCTATCCCATCGAACTTGAGATAAAGGATACAACAGATACTTTTAAGTCTGCCTCATATCTTGACTAACATCTAGAAATTGACAATGAGGGTCGGTTGAAAACAAAGCTTTACGCCAAAAGTAATGATTTAAGCTTCCCAATTGTGAACTTTCCATTTCTTTGTACCAACTTTCCAGCAGCGCCTGCTTACGGAGTATATATCATCCACTTGAAACGATAATCCAGGGCTTGTATTTCCTATAATGATTTCCTTGATACAGGGTTGCTGCTCACAAGAAAGCTATCAAACCAAAAGTTCCAAGAGGTGAAGTTCACCCCTTCGTAAATATTACGTACGCCATCAAGAGTTGGTTGACCGTTATGGATAACTGTTTCAAAGCTAATGGTAGCGGATATGTTTCTAATGTCGTAACTACAAAAGCGCCCTTTTTGTCCTGAATGTGACCTACCGAATTAGACTTATTACCGGTTCTTTACTAACATGAGCAATATGACGGGTACCACATGTAGAGCAGTTACTGTTTTGTGTACTATTGTTTGTCTGTTTGTCTGTTGGTTTTTTCCTTTTTTAGCTATGGCGTTGTCTGTTTATTTTCGACTTATGAGTTTAAATGCCCCTTTGGTATCTTTGTCCTCTCCTTTATCAAACATGGACGAAGCAGGAAAGGTTATTAATTTACAAAGAAAAATAAAAGAACAACTGTAACACGAAATTAAGATGATAAACAACGTTAGTACCTAGAATCTATACTTCAACAACATCATGTATTTCTTGTGAAGTTGATACAGAATATTTATCACCAAAGTCTTGGTATCTTCCGAGGAAATGTTTTAAAAAAAGGACGAGACATTCTTCGACACATCCTCGGTTCATCAACTTCTGCTCGGACACTGGTGACGTTTTAAAGTCTGAGTAACAGAAAGTAAAACAACAAAATACCGAACTCCAAGGAAAATTCAAAACGGAAAGTCCGTAATCAAATGGCAAAATCAAAAACTCAACCGCATCAAACGAATGGATAACAATTGTCATATTCCTGACTTGGTACAGGCATTTTCTTATGTAGAAAATGGTAGATTAAACCTGGTTTTATAGCTAGCTAAACCTCTCACTTGTATGACAGTCGCATTACATTCCATATGATGCAAGCTCTTGAATACCGAATGAGTTGGGAAATGTATATCACATATGCAGGTGAAGTTTGTATATTGCTACTAAGGTGGGGGAAATTGATAATTTCAACATTAAAATCGTCTCGTTTGTCATAGATTCTGATACTGAGACGACCGCTTACGTCACATTCGTCATTCGAGATATAAGTCTAGAAATTAGGCAGAGGAAGCCGTGTCTGTTGTTTCATTTATTTCTAGTTCTGTAGGATATATTATTGGAACCCAATCAGAAAAGTTTGGATTGTTAATGGAAAGAACATCATCGAAATATCTGAATTCAAAATTAAATGATCTGGCTTCTTTGATCTTCATGTGTTTGACAAGTGTCTGGAGGAACTCCGACTCATATGAAAATAAGAAGAGGTCGACAAGGAGAGGCGCCTAGTTCATTTCCATAGGAATGCCGACAATTTGTTGAAAAAGTCTACCTCCAAATTCAACAAATAATTTTTTAAATAAAAAACTCAGGCATACTGATCACTTGTTCCTCTGTGTATCATGTTTTACCTTCTTATTAGCTATTAACAAGATATGCCATATGGTATCCCAAAGTAATAAACCTATAGCGGTATACTACTGTTGCCTTTATTATGCTACCATTTTTATACTGATAAGCATTGTGGATAATTTCTTTTAGACGATTTTCCAATTTCGCATGGGGAATAGTGGTATACAGGGTTGAAAAATCAAAAGTTCTGATAGAAATATACAAATTTCATGCAAAAGCATTGATATGACCTAGAGTTAATGTTTCACTGAACATAGAAATGTGATAGTGTGAAATTTGTACAATCCAACGGCAACGCTAATGTTGAAAGTAGTTTACC